AGACCAGCGAGTTAGTAGTAGTGTGCGTGTGTGTGTGTGGGATATCCAGGGTGATCCAGAATGAGTGAGTGAGAACAGTGGTGTTGGACAGAGTGACGAGAGTTGGGTGGTACAGGCGCATCATAGCCTGTTGAAGCGAGCTTGTATCGGAACTGTGTTCTCGATTTCCATATCTTTGAGCTTTGAGTGGGCGCTGTGCGCCAGTGTGATTCGCCATCTGTTTGCATGAGTGCGAGGTGGGAAAGAAAGCGAGTCTGATTGCAGAGTTAAGGAAATTGCCTGAAACAAGGCCTGCTGCTGTGGGGACCCGACGCATGGCCTAACACTTGGCTTCAGAGGCCCTACGTGCGACAGTTGACCGTGGAAAGTCGAAGGTCAACAGAAGCTCGGAAATTCATGCTCACGAGTCAAAGTCAACATGGACCCAGCCCAGGCCACCAATCAGACACACGCACTTGGCTCTTCGCAGTTATCTGTCGAGAATCCAGTCCAAGTGGAAATCTGCAACTTTATGCAATCCAGGCCATCGACTGGGGGTCAATCTGGGCCATCGTATCCGCGAGACAAGAGGCTGGTCAACCGGAGTCAACACTATATGTTGACCCACCCCTGCTGACCGATATTCGGTCTTACACTTGCTGCTCGACGCTGGCTGGACGCTAGCTTGACGCTGGCTCTAAGCTGGCTCTACGCTGGCTTGATATCTGTCGACGACGCGAGACTGCTACTGCTATATGATGGCGCCATTCTCTGTCTTCGGCGCCAGCTCTATTCTTCATTATGCTGACGTGGCTCTCGCCACATTGTCTACTACATTGGTGGGATACTGGCGAGGAGGAGGAGGATCATGGCTGTGCGATTGGCTGATCGAAGAGGAAGCTTACCTGTTTACGTACGTGTCGACAATGCGTGCTGCTGATCATCTTCAGAAGGTGTCTGGGCTGACACGCGCTATGATGAGACCTGCTCTTTGTCAGATTGCGTCAGAGGATATGGGAGATGCCCGAAGGAGAAGGGGGTTTTGAGGGAGATCTATATGCTATGCCGATGGTTTCTTTCTCTTCCACCTTCCAAGTCAAATTTCCCACCTATCACCCTCGTCTCTGGTGACCGGACATTGGGCTGCTTGACGATTATTTTGGGCTGCTCTGAGACATTCTGTATCTTGACATTGACGAGCTTTCCTCCTGACTGGGTTCATAGCATTTTCTTTTTCTTTTTCTTTTTTCACTCGGCAGGGAGCAGCACCTGCTGGAAACCGGATCCAGCGTCCCTGACTTGAAAACAAACCCACTCACAACGCTTCCCCGCGTTACGGCCAAGGGAACCCGGCAGCATTGATTGCTTCAGCAAGGAGGCATTGACTGTCAGTCGAGCCCACTCTTTTGGCAAACTTTCCACAGCAAATCTTAAAACCCGAATGAAACGTTCCCAAAACATAGTCCTATTGGTCTTTCTGCTGTGGGAGATCAACTGGCTCTAGCCTCGTTTTCTATCTGAAATCTATCAAAAGCCCTGTCCTAATTGTCTATGCACCAGTGTAATCCACATGCTGACACGAGATAAATAACATGTAGGGTTGAGACACTTATTCTTGGTTTTACGAACGTTTATCATTCACGGTCTCCATCAGATGTAGCAACCCCTTGGTCTATCAGGCTTGTGATTCCCCCTTTTTTATCAGTTACCCTTTTGTACTGAGCCTGATAAGTAGATTATTTCCCTGAAAGATCTTCATCACTGCATAGTGCCAATGACTTCCTGGATCTCTGAGCTTCGATCTTTCTGTTGTCTCATTCCAGGTTCGGAGTTGTGGCAGTCCTATCGTATTTGTAGATATGAGATTCCTTTCTTTCTCTTCTCTCTCCCTCTCATTCTCATTTTTTGATTGGCGACTCATGTACTTGTCTCAAATTTGAGTTTTGCATCACGATGGACCTTGGATCATAGCACATGCACACGAGGTTGGGGGTAAACAGATTTGGACCTGCAACCTCTCATTCGCAACACGACTACTTTGCCGGCTCAGCTAGGGTCATTCCCATTAAAAACATCGAGGGGCAATATCCCGAAACGATGTTGAAATTTCAAAAGCTTTTTTGAGTTTTTTTTGTTAATTTTCTCAATTTTTTGTGTAATTGTCAACTTATCGGATAAGTCAGAAAGAGGACCTCCCCCCCCCAAGTGAAGGCGGGCCTGCCAATATGCAGTGAGGCCTGGGAATAGGCCAAGGCGAGCAGAATGGGCCCCCGGGTAGTTGCAGCATGCGTGCAGCATCTTCAACTAACCGGTAGGTCCCGCCTGCGAGTCAGTTTGCAAATGCTGGGCATTCTTGCACAAGGGCCAAGGTGCAGAGCAACTGGGACAGGGCACAGCCTAGGCGTGGCCTCCTCGGCCTCTCCATCCAGACAAATGACTGGAGGCCGCCCAGACTCACACATTCAGGCATTGTGCCAATGCAGCAGTGCTGCTGGAGCAGTAGCTGAGCACTGTGCCAGAGGGAAGCTGCCGTGGTGGCAACGAGGAAGAAGAGGGAGAGCGCTCAGAGCGCCAGCCATAGCCAGGCTGAGTGCTCCATAGCCGGATGGTGGAAGTAGGAGGGGTCCTTGGTGGAACAAGCTGTGGAGGTCAAGGGAGAGCACTGGAAGGATGCAGAACAAGTTGGGCCCTGCCTGCAGCTACCTCCTTGAGTACGGAGTTCTCTCTTGTTACTATTATCATAGTATTATGCATAAGTTCTCTGCTTACGCCATTTATTTAACCATTCAATTCGTCTACTACTCACAATCCAGCTGTTGCATCGTCATCCCCATCACAGGAGCCATTATCTTTCGGAACACGAGCCGAGATGCAAGCTTGGATCTGGCTCCAAGCAAAAGGCAGTCCAGTTGGCTGCCATGTGGAGACTCGTAGCTCACTGTCAGCACTGGAAACACTGGGTTAACGAAGATTTAGGCATTGATATACTAACAGCATTACGGAGGGTATTCAACACTGAAGATAAAGGCATATGTATTTGCCCAGTGGCTGAATGGTACACTCCTAGAGGCTACAAATGTTGCTCCAAAGGTTAAAAGGGAAAGGAATTTCTGTGTTCCCCATGCATTTGATAAGGGCCTTCACCCAGCTGCAACTCTCTCTCTCTCTCTCTCTCTCTCTCTCTCTCTCTCTCTCTCTCTCTCTCTCT